CCTTCTCGCCGCGCGCTTGTGTAAGGCATGGATTGGCCCATCTTTTTAAATTAATTTCTTAATAATTATTACGAAAATCGCAAAATGGTAAAGCACTTTTCTTCTCGGTTTCATCTGCTCTACCTGCACATGGCGGGTGATCCGCGAATTATGGGACACCCTGTATATATATATATAAACAGATTGTAAAATATTGATATTTAATATAAAATTTACATCATCGGCAAATGTAAAATTAATTATTACACTGACTTACTATTTACATTTACACAGTATATTAGCAAGTGTATAACAGAATTTAACATTCTATTACAATTACAGAGCTAGCCGAGCAAAACGGGTCAGATTACTCACGGTCGCGTTTAATAAAATCGGAGAAATCGCAGCTTGTTATGCTTCAAGCATATCTATAATCCGTATCCTTCTGTTACATCTAAGTATAATTCTCATTCCTTGATTTTGTAATGTTCGCAGGTGCTGTAAGAGAGAGAGGGAGAGAGAGAGAGAGAGAGAAAGAGAGTGTGTACCAGGATATACATGGATGATATTTTAAAGAAAGGAAATTTTAATTTATTGGACAAATTCGTTTCTCCTTAGCCAAAATACAGTGGAAAGATTTATTGGAAATTAAAAGTTACTAATCATATTTGGAAATACAAATCCGAATAATAATTCTTTTCATAATTCTATTCGATGCTTATATGTATGACAAAGTATTTATTATTAGTGATCAAGAGATGAATTAAAAATTATTTTTCTTAAAAAAAGCTGAGAAAAAAACGCGTTTAATCCCTTATCAAATAATTCGCCGCTTAAACTGTACGAGAGATATTGAAACATGTTGCGCAAGAATCTTGCAGCAAAAGCACGATGACGTGGCGATTTTTCTTTAGATATCGCGATGAAGGTTACACTCGATACGCATGGCAATAAAATAAAATTATGAATGATGTGCTAATAACATGCTGCAAAACAAGATTCTGCATTAGTGTCAATTTGCCGATAGCAAAATGAGCATGAAATTATGAAAAGAAGAAAAAAAATTATCTTATTATGTATTCGTTAATAACAGCATCGAAGATCGTTAATCATACGCGGCACATATACTCGTCGATTATACTCGTTCTCGAGATTCACACGCGTAACATTGTTGTTACATGTGGAAATAATTTATTACCTTGAGGATTTTAATATTGAGATATGTGTGCTGATATCTAACATTACGCATGCACATGATGCATTTACTCTCTATATAATCGCGCAATTTCATAACGTAATTATAGCAACAATGTTCAAAGCGCGCTGCGAAAAGTTTGAATTAAGATAAAAATCTTGCAGTTTCCTTTTGGGAACTTTATATTAACTTCACAATCTTTGGATTGCTTTTTCTTGCTCATATTTTTATTGTGTATTTGTTCCAACTAAATTAAAAGTGGATTATTGTACTTTCTAATTAAAAAAAGATTAAAATATATTAATATTATTTATATCTCTCGTAAGTATTTTTAAATCGATATGTTTTGAAACTCTTGATATTAGAAATTTGCAATTTATTCTTATTTCATTAATCGCATTACATAATTATGGTGCGTAACTTTAATTCATTTTAATGCATTTACTGCTTACATAAAGCAATGAGACAGCGAAAAAAGAACAATTCTACGGAAAGCGGAAGATGATTAATTTGTTCCGCGTAATCTTTTTTTTTTTAACTTGACTATAAAATTGCTACTACAAAATACAAGCGGTGTTTTTTTTTTGTAGAACCTGTTGCGAAATACATCGAGTGTGCTTTTTCAATGCGTTTGCTCAATATTGTATCGGTTTTTTCATCACTTTCCCGAGCTTAACATAGACGAACAGAGATGTGATTGTTAAGCAATCAATTTATATCAAAAATTGATATCAGTGTATATCTCGAATTAATTCAATTCTTGATGTTATAAATATAGTAAAATGTATGGAATATGTTATAGAAATAATTTATATGTTATAGAAATCTAGATTTACGGCATTATATTACATCTCTTTCTCTCTTTCAATTCCAATTTTTTATAATTATTCTTGATATATTATAATTCTCTAAATACTTAATTAAAAAAAAAATATCAGAAAGCTTTTTTCTGTTAGAAAATAACAGAAAACAAATTAGAACATTACATTACAAAAATTGCATTTTGTAACCTAAGTTTTAAAAAAATAGCGGTAAAATTGGATAAAAGGTAACACACCTCCGATTTTATCGCTACTTAAATATGTTGTAAGGAAGGTTCTTCTGAGTAATTCCCCGCAAGAAATAAGTGGGGGACGGTATTGGTTTAGAAGATATAACAAATTCAAGTTTGACATTAAAGTATGTATATGCTGTATAATTTATTATTTTTTTATTGAAAAAAATTGTTTATGACATTCACGCGTGGGAGGAGGAGGGACTCCGTTCTTTGCCCTACACCTCCATCCCGAAAAAATTTCTAAACCCAACCCTATTTTCAGTTTTTAAAATAAAGTTGGGTTGGGTTAGGTTAGAATTTTTTCGGGGTGAAAGTGCAGAGGGAGAGGAGGAGCCTCTTCCCGCCCACGCATTCAATAAATAATATTTTTCAAGACAAGATTTATAAATTTATGTAGTCATATGTTGAAAACTGTTAACGAACTGCGAGAAATAGTTGAAACCGCTTATTGACAAAATATCTATGACCATGTATCTACCCCTATAAATGTAAACAAACATTTTTTCCATTTCTATTCTACAACAAATACAACGTGCACAAACTTCACTTTTCCTAATATTACTTCATAATACCTGAGAGAAAGTATTAAAACTGTGAAACTTTAATTTGTTATACCTCCTAAACCCAATGCCTTTCGCCACTTGATTCTTGCGGCGAATTATTCAGAACACTTCCCCCTACAACATATCTAACAATAAGTGGCGATTAAATCATTGAGATGTGACCTAACCTTTAATGCAGTTTTATCAAAATAGCAGCTGATATACACTGCCGGCCAAAAGTTTGGACACAACATTAAAAGGCTAGATATAAAGAAATTTATTTTTATTGATGTAATTCGTATTTACATTAGAGATAAATGATTATTTTGTAATACGAAAACTATAGAAAATTTAAGTAAAACAAAAATAACATGAATCTAACACACTTTTAACAAAAAACTGTTAAACTTTCTTTTCTAATCAAAAAATACACCTTTAGTTTTGATGACCATTTTTACAAGTCGTGGCATTTTTTCTACTAATTTATTCTCGTAGAAGTGAATATTTCATATATCATACTCATTCTTGTGAGCGCAGAAGTAAATATTTGCATCATACCCACTCTTGTGATGTCTGTGAATTCTTTTATTAGAGATCGGTAAGATTTAAATATTTAATATAAGTTATGACTAAACTAATTGATTAATAACAAAAAAGCTTCCTGAGGAGTAAGGGGATCCTGTTAAAATCCTGTACAAATTATAGGTGTATAGGTAGGGTTGCTATACGTCCTCTTTTTCCCCGGACACCGTCCTCTTTTTTAGGGCGTCCGGGGACGTCCGGGGGGATTTTTCGAATGTGTCCGGGGTAATTATGAATGTCTGGGGTTTAAGAATATTCATAAATATTCTGCTTTTTAGATTTAATTAACCACATCATATTCAATCACTTCAATACAATTGAAGTTATCAACCATTTGTTTTTTTATTTTTATGCGTGAATCTAATAATAAAACTTCTTTTAAATTAAAAACATGTTTAATTTATTCCTTTTACTCTAAGTACTAATGAAAATGAGATCTAAAATAATTATTAATTTATTGTTATAAGTTATAAGCAACTTGCTAACCTATTCGCATTTTTGTATACGTCCGGGGTTGCAAGCGATATGTCCGGGGTTTCTGAGCTATAAGTTCTAGTTTTGAAAATGTTATTATGGCAACCCTATGTATAGGCAAATGTATCCGAACTTTTGGCCGGCAGTGTATATAAATACATTTCGTTGTCTATATTATCGTTTACTAAGCTCTTCGTATGTCGATATCGTGCAAATCAATGTTTTAACGGCACCGTTTTTGGACTATTTTTGAACATTCGATTTCGCTGATACGGTTTGTATGTCAACTGGACCGTTTTCCATTACCGTTTACTAAAAGCGTAGGCAACAAATATCGATTTTAGTTTAGGCTTGACGATTTGAAATATCACTGACAATCTTTGAAGATTTCTATGATTGCCAAACTAAAACGAACATATATTTGTGACGGAGAAAGAAGATATTAAAGCGTTGTTTTCATGAAAATATAAAGAAATATTGATATTAATAAAAATAACACGCGATAAAGATATCAATGAAGTAAAGATAGCATTGCTCTACTGCTATTTCCTTCACTGATGTATTGTATTCTTTCATCGATCATAAACATCGAACACACAGTTATTTCGAGAGAAAAGTACGATCTCTTGAAAATATCATTGTAAGCGGATTAAAAACAACTAAGCATAAGCGAATCGTGCCATCAGATATGTCTCGATATTTAACAATAGATTTAAAGTGTCCTTACAAAACTGGTTTTGTAAGAAAAAAAAACAAAACTGGTTAGCCATCATGCACGGTCACCTAAGAAAAGGATGTTAAAAGTGAAGGAGATGATGTTGTTTTTTTTTTCCTAACCACGCAACATACTCGGCAACGTTAAAATCGTAAAGCAACTATCATTGTTGATTACATAAACTTGTGAGTGCAAATACATTCCTTCTTTCTATCACGCAAGCATTTTTTGCGACAGGCAAATATAAAGAACAGAGCAGAAAATTAAAGGATTCGGAATTGAACGGTTTTACACTCGGTGATAGAATTATACGTGATCAACGTGATCTTCCAAGTCATATGTATTTACTTTGTGATTCATTGTAAGCGTCAATAAATTTCTTCTTTCGTTTTTCTATCTTACACAAGAGCCGTCTTCGTGACAAAACAGAACTACGATGAACAAAAAGAATAAGAATGGAGTAAAGAAAATAGGAATTAAACGATATTGCACTTCATGTCAGCAGTATTAAAATCACACAACATGACATTATAAAGTAGACATTCACTATTATATTGCAAGGACACAACCCACATTCATCTCTTTGAATCTTTCCGTGTTTCTCACGAAAGCGATTATCATGACGAGAGAAAAATAGCACAAATAAAAATAATAAAGAAGAAGAAGACGCGGGTGAAATAGAAATTGAATGATGTCGCGCATTCAGCATTAATCTTGCGTTAAAATAGCACGATGCGTCAGATTGCAAAACAAATATGTATACACAGAGATAATATTATAGCAAAAGTTATAATATTCTTTGTAATTGTGGAACATACTAATATATATAAAAAAATGACGCGCGATATTTTTATTCAATATAATATTATATATCGTACGTATTATATTTATTACGTATTATTTTTATTACGAAGTAGTATTGCAATTATTCAAATATTTTAATGTACAAACAAATGCATAATTGTCAACAAACAATAGAACACATACACACACACAAATACATAATTTACAATTTTTATAGTAATAAATATATCTTACTGTGTCATTACATTCCAGCTTCAAATGTTATAAAAAGGAATGTAAATTTGCATTATAAAATTCTCTCCGCGTACACTTTGATCGCACGAATTTTCACGAAGAAATATAATCAAACAATTCAGAGAAATAAAGATAGCATGGATGATAAATATCTTTGTGAGTAATGATTATGCTAAAATTGCACAACCTAAACACTAAAAGCGAGCCGATATAATTCTTGTGTACGGATTAAATACTTATTATAACAAATAATATCACTTGTCGCAGTATTAATGAAATTACTAATGATAGACTTGATAAATCTGCGACCTCCTTATCTTAATATTGTTAGTGATCGCGGTCGATATAAATACGCTGATTTCAATGATACTGGAATGATTACGATAAATTCGAATAGCATCGAGAAAATACAACGAAATTACTGCGCTTTCCATTCGCTGATCGAAATAATGTTAACGATCGATAGACGAGGAATTATATAATGACAATGAAAGCATCGAGATTATTACTTACCGGAATTGTTAGTGAATGTGATCGACGGGATCCGTGGCTTGTCGAACTGTATTGTACTCTGACTCAAAATCATTTCTCATACGCACTACTTCGCCCCTACCACGTATGGTCGCCCCACCGAAGTTACCCATGCAACACAGAACGTTGTAGCAACGTTATAATAGAAGCGGAGTGCCTTACCAGGTATTATGATTATCACGATTTCCCCCCGGGACTATTCGCGTTATTATTTTATCATCGTATCTAGCGGAGTTTCATTATCCGTAAAAGAAGGAAATCCGCACTTTCGTTTTCGCACACGAGATAGTTGCGAAAGAAATTACTTGAAGCGTTTTCTATCATGATTTCGATGACCCCATAACTTTTATCTCATAAATGTTGCTTTAATTAACCATCCTTATATGATTAAAATAAAATACTGCATATTTAACATTTAACTCAACTGCGAATGCGAAATCGTTAAAATGATGACAGTCGCGTAAGATAATCCACTGCTATCTATGTCTTATGTATATGCATAAGTAATTAAATATGTTTGAAGCGATAACAATGGAAACAATGATATATGCAATAAGTGGTATTGTACAAGATATACGTATTTAGTACATATTTAAATCAGTTCTTTTTGTGTGTGTGTTCATTTTTTTACTATAAGCAAGATTTTTGAAATTTTTCAGTCGTAATGCCGTTAATTTTAAGCAAGAAGCGCGTTTAGAATTGCGGAAAGATGAAATGTTAAGAATCTTAAAGACTCGGATCGAATCGGAATCAGAATCAATAATCGTTCCATAACCGTTTTTTTAATATCTTCCAAAACCGTAAACCGTATTAAAATTCTGTTAAATTTATAACCGTAACCGGACCGTTAAATTATTTTCGGTTTACAGTTCTTTTCGGAACCTTTTCGGTTCTTGCAATTTATTTCTACAAAATATTTTTATATTACTAATTTAAATTTTTTGTCATTTTCTTGGCTGGATGTCATCGAAAAATAATAATAACCTGATAAAAATAGAATTTTCAAAAAGTTAGAGATGGAAGAAATAATAATGAATAAAAAACAATAAGTGCATAAAAATAATTACTTTTAATTAATTATTTTTATTTTAATTAAGTTTTTGTATTTTTAAGAAAATAAAAAAACTTTTTACATTTAATATTACTTTTTTCTTTATTTTATAATAAAATATATATAAAAGACGTAAATTTAATAAATTCTGCATGTTCACATAAAAAGAACAACAAGATATTTGTTAATAAAAAATAATATAATTTGTTAGAAAAAGGTTAGAAAAGCAATAATTTTAGAAGAGCCGGAACCGAAAAAACCGTAATTCAAACGGTTTCGGTTTCCTTTACTTATCAAGAAACCGGAACAGTTATTAAACTCTAATTTCGTTTTGATCCGGGTCCCTGGTTAAGATATACAGCTATTAATGAAAGAGTTAGTCTCGAGATATTTGTATTTAAAAAAGTATTACACTCTCTCACATATATATTTTATTTCGCCATAGTTATGCATTGATAATATATCTTTTTAAAAATATAATTATAGTATAATTAAAAAAAAAAATCTTTATATTTTATTTTTTCGTTCAATTATAAATAATAATATAGACTTCGCGATTCTTCGTTAGAATAGATTTACGTATACGATAAACTAAATAAGCAATAATTACGCACATTTATTGATTTTGTTTATTATTATTTTCAGTATGTATACAAGATAAATAGAGCGCTCTAAAGAGTATCGCGAAGATGAGAAGACGTTATATGTTAAAATTCTTTAATTAATCTTAATTAACGGCGATTAACGACGTATATTGAAGAAAATTGTGCTTCAACTGTCCTTATTTCCTCCTACCAATTCGTCACGATACTTGACGGGGTAGGCTAATTGGTTGCCTTTATTCCATGTATAGAGCTCCTGTAACGGGAAGGAAAACTCGAATGAGCATAAATAGACGGAATGGTGAAAGGCATATCAAGATAAGCATCTATACCTTGGTTTTATGATTGTAGCTAACCGCTGTGGTCTTGTAGTACGGATTCGTGAATGACAATGACACCTCCCGCATTGTATTTCGATAGAGATCGAAGGCGTATCTACGGAGTTGAATGGGTTTGGGTAATAATTATTTATTATATGTATTTTTATAATTCTGTGGTCGGAAAAAGCAATTATTCAGTGACATTCTGCGATTATTTGTAGATATATCTGTTGAATATGCAAATTGTTTTTGGTAATAAATATTTATAATAATACTTATAATAATTGTTCTCTTTTCTTCACCTACATATACAAGGTGAGTTTTTTAACTTGAAACTGTAAAATATCTCGGAAAGTAAGCTTTATCGAAAAAAATGTTTCAAACAAAAGTTGTAGGGTTCGGAGGGGGCCACATGATAAAAATATGGATTTGACCTTGAGTGACCTTTTCAAGGTGAGATCAATGTGATCGACGTT